AGACTATGGACTCTGAGAAACAAACTGAGAGTTCTAGATGGGAGGGAGTTGGCGGGATGGGTTAGCCTGGTGATGGGTATTAAAGAGGGCACGTACTGAATGGAGCACTGGGTGTTATACGCAATGAATCATGGAACACTACATCAAAAACCAGTGATGTAATGTGGAATAAAGTGGAAAGTTTCATCTATTACATGTTCAGCTATTTTAAATAGGGAGATCTATGAGAAATTTACAATGTTCCTATTTTAAAATTTTAAGGCTTTGGACTCACCTCAATTTAACTAATCTAAGTTGAAACTAAAACTGACTTATTTTTCTTGGATCATAATACCCCATATCCTAAAAACTCCTAAAATTCAGATATAGTATTATTACAAACACATTGTTCCATAGGCCAAGTAGAAAAACCTGCTACTGAACCTCACTTGGAACTATGGCTTTTAGCAAGCTCTAGGGCTAAACAGATTGGGCCTAAAGCAGTCCCCTCCTCCACGCAGCCTAAGGTCATGATCTGCCTTGGCCCCAGTATAGCTATGCCTAAGGAAATCTAAAATGCTGCTGAAGGACTTGGTTCTACACTAGGGCCTTGGGAGCAGGCAGAGGTAACTGCATAAGCACTAGACAGATGTGCTGAGAGGAAGAGAAGGAAGGGAAAAACAAAATCTCTCACTTCTAAAAACCAAAATTCTAAAACATAGGTAAATAAAATGGTCAAGGTTTAAAAATAATATTAAAAAATCTTTTCAGAATTTTATAAAAGTCTGACATTTTTATATGTTTATAATGTTTAGAGAAATGAGTAACTTCCATTTAAAAAAGGAAAAGTATTGGGCGCCTGGGTGGCTCAGTTGGTTAAGCGACTGCCTTCGGCTCAGGTCATGATCCCAGGGTTCTGGGATCGAGTCAGCATCGGGCTCCCTGCTCGGCGGGGAGCCTGCTTCTCCCTCTCCCACTCCCCCTGCTTGTGTTCCCTCTCTCGCTGTGTCTCTCTCTGACAAATAAATAAATAAAATCTTTTAAAAAATTTAAAAAAATAAAAATAATAAAAATAAAAAAGGAAAAGTATGAAACACAAGCAAACACAAATAAAACAGGAGCCAATGAATATGCAGAAGAACCAACTAGAACTTTTCCAAAC